GGCCCCGAGCTCCCGCTCGCCAGCGACGCGAGGACGCGTCTCTCGAGTGACCTGGCTTGGCTTCGCGTGACCGCGGGGCCGACCCGGGCCAGAGCGCCGGCGCGCGAGCGCCGCAGTCACCGGTCAGCGAGGCGCTGGCACAGCCGACGGTGCCCGCTGCGGCCCCTCGGGCTACAGCCAGCGAGCTCGCTGTTTCCTCCTATTCCGCAGAGCCGCATGGCCGCCGGACTGACCGGATCTAGCGTGTCTAAAATTACTCAAACATGACAGGGAACGTTACCGTTTGGGGGAATTACAGGAAAGTCTTTCCGCCCCCTCGGCGCGCTGAAGGCGGCCCCTTCCGAGGCCGCGCGGCGCGTGGCGGTGCTGCCCAGGCCGCGTCGCTGTGGGTCCCGTGATTTCCCTGCGGGGTCCTGCCGCGCGCGCCGGATGCTGTGAGGGGCCAGGCCTGACCCACGGCGCCCTCCGTCGCCAGGCCCGGACCGCAGCTCCAGCACCCTGCGGCGCGCGCGGACGCAGCGGGGTGAGGCTCAGAGCAGCGGCTGGGACCTGGGCGGAAGGCGCAGAGCGGGGCTGGGGGGTCTCCCCAGAGCCGGCCAACCCCGGGCCCGCCCCCCACTGACCCTACTTTGCCGGTGCGGAGGGATTGAACGTAGAAAGGCACAAAAGCCGGAGAGGCCACTCGGCCGCCCGCCCCTCCCCGAGCCCGGGCTGGCTACCAAGCGCGTCCTCTTCCCCCCTGGCCGGCGTGAGCTCAGTCTCTGCTCCGCGCGGCTGCCCGCCCGCCTGCCCGTGCTGACGGGCCACCAGGGGCCCTGGGCACGCGCTGGGGCCGTCCTGTCTGGCTGGCCCTTGCGCCTGGGGGCAGCTTCTGGAATGTGGCCAGGAGCTGTGTGGGGAACCCTCTCTTCTCGCCACCGTGGGCCCTCACCCCATTACAGACCGTGCACCCCTAAGTCTGCGTACTGCGGCTCCCCGTGCGCGGTGGCTAGACCACAGACAGGAAAAATACCCACGGCTCGGCCTCGGCCCGCGGCCAGTGGAGGAAGCAGAGTCCCCCAAGGAAAGTGGCCTAAGGCGGCCGAGTGGAGGGCGCAGCCGACCGGCCTCTGAAAGGCCCCTGCGGCCCACTGGCAGAGGCGGGGTGGGTGGAGGGGGCCGGGAGGGGTCGCTGGCGCCAGCCCGCTCGGCTAACGGGTGCCTGACCCCTCACCCTGCCGGGTGTCCCTCCTCTCCTGAGAGTGCAGACCTGCGACCTGCCACAGAGGGGCGCTCATCTGCCGGGCATGGAGAGACCGGCCTCTTGGCTGCGCCGCTGGGGGCCCAGTTTGCAGTCTCACCCTGATACACCACCTGCTGCTTCACGTGACTCCTGCGCTCACCAGACCCTTGGCTGGGCACGCGGGGTGGGCAGCTTGGCCGTGGAGGGTGAACTGTGCGAATATGCAGGCTGGGCAGCACAGGCCCGCAGGGGTGGACAGCAGGGGCATGCCTGGCCGCCGAAGGGCAGCCCCAAGTCCTGTTTGCGCAGGTCCAAGCAGCTTGGCCCAGTGCACTGACCGCAGGTGCCCTGCTCCCCCCTCGCCCCCGATGACTCAGTGTCCAGGGGAGGCCGAGAGCCGCACACACGGCTGGACGGCGGGTCTCCCAGGAGCCGGTGACGCCCCGTCCCTGCCCCGGCCCCACACGAGTCTCTAACAGAGCCTGGTCTGACCCTCCCGGGGCGCCCCAGGAAGGACCCACTTTTGGGGTACTCCTAACAGACTTATTTCACCCCTGGGCCCCAACTTCACAAAACGTGCATGGAACCCTAACCCCGCCGATGGTCGCCTGCCTTGGGGCCAGGGCAAGTTTCACTCACCACACCCCCGAACCGGTGCAGGCCTTTGTTTCTAGGAGACTGGGGACAGTTAGTGGGCAAGACGCGGGGCCACTTTCTGCCTTGCGCAGCCCAGGGGTAACTTGTGCCCGGCAACCTGCCTGGGTACTACAAACACAAAGGCCTCGGGTTAACGACTTCGGGGCGCTTCTGAATTTGCCTGTCCCTGGGCTGTCCGTGCCACACCCCGCTGGGCCCAAAGGCTGGCGCCCCTCTCGGAGGCCACCCCGCGGTGGGAGATACCTAGGAACCGGAAACACGCTGGCACCACACCGCGGGGTACAGACCAAAGGTCCCGAGTTGGGGCGCTGAGCCAGACCTGTGCTTCCAGGCCGGGCCTGGCCGGCGGCCACTAGATGGACTCACCCGCCAGCAGCCTTCCGACCTGCAGCCCCCAAGGCCCACAAGGCCCTCCCTCAGGGATCGCGACCACAAGCACGGCTGTGGAACACCTGCTTTGGAAGCCACCGGGAGACGGGGGACCGGGACCCCGAGCCCTGCTGTGAGCCCCTGGGTGTGTCTGGAGGAGGCTCCCACCTTCCCCGCGCCACAGGGCTGCGGTGGGTTCTCGCCCAGAGCAGCGGTCAGGAAGGCCCACGCCCAGGTGTGGATGCTTCCGTCCACTAGAGGTTGGGGCGCTGGGGTTCCCCACGGAGGCCGGCCTCGCCTCAGCACCTGGAAGCTGCCCGATCCCGCAGCCACGGGGACAGCAGGCCACACGGGTGCCTGGGCCCGGGGTGGCCCACAGCCGGGGAAGGCGGGGCCAGCTGGTGGCCAGGCCAGGGCCTGGGTCTGCCTGGGTGTGGGGGCGCGCTAGGAGCGGGAGGGAAGCGGGCAGGGAGGAACACTGGGAGGGTGCCCGCCGTTGGCTCGCGGACATGGCCTCGACGTCTCCCGGCAGTGCACCCGGCCTGAGGGCTGCGTGGGTGTCACAGC